ATATATATATATATATATACAGACCTGGGCAGAAATCAATAATAGCTGAGAAGACAGAATTTCTAAATCAATAGGTCTGTTCTTTGAACTTGCCTTTTATTGAAGAGCTCCCCATCTGCCTCTAGCATTGGAGCAATTTTTCCATCTAGTCTTTTCATAACAATATGTAGCTTTTGCATGCTTTCAGTAAGTTTTTCATCCTCCAATTTAGTTTGAGCAACAGTCTTTCAATATACAAAAATGTTAATATCAATATTAACAATGACAATTTGCCAACCTGACATTCTTGAATAATTATTTTGTATTAAATTTATCTGGTTCAATTCAGAAAATAAAACATGTAAAACAATGCACATTCAAAAACACCAAATCAAGAACCAATAGAGTAAAAAAGGTCAATTTATCTAGTCTTTGAATAACAAGAAGTAACTTTTGCATGCTCTTGATGAGGATTTTGTCATCCACATTAGTTGCAGCAAGGGTATTTCAGTACATGGAAAATCTTAATATCAATATTATGAAAACATATTGCCATCCTTTTTACTCATCAAACTTATCTGGTTCAGTTTAAAATGAAACATGTAACAGGGTTGCATATTCAATAACTCGAGAGAACCAACAAAGTAGATAAGGTCAACATTGGGATAATTTTCACCATATTTTGAGTTGCATAAACATGAGTAGCTCAGTTGACATTTGAAAGTAATAAGGCTTCAAGACATATAAGGAAAAATCATTTTAATCCCATAAAAGAATACCAGGCTTAATACTATAGGTACAGAACAGCTTAAATAGAGTTGTAATCAGAAGATTAATGACGGCATTGGATGGACATATTTAGCTTAAAAAGGTGGAAAAGGGGAATGAGGCAACAAAACATAATAGCACAAGCAAAGGAAGGTTAGATGGGTAATAACCTAACAATGCAAAAGAAAATTCTTAATCAACAATTGTAAGATGTATGCGTACAAATAAGCCATAAAATAATGAGTAAAGGACCAAACATACATGAGCAGGATGCCCTGTACTTTGCCGCTGCAGAGTCAGCCGTAGCTGGTTAAAGAGACCACCTATAACCTCCTTTTGATTTATAAGCTCCACCAATGATTTTCTATGACCCAGGCTAAGAATTAGGGCACTGTGCTGCATTTTTAACATTTTATAGAGCACAAAGAAATTTTCAGCTTTGGAGAATGGAGACCAGTTGAGGATAGTTGCTTAACACAGTACATATGGTTCAACATAAAGTTACTGTTGAAGGCAGAAACTTCATATTAACTAGCATTTATATAATATTTCCATTCTTAAAACGAGATAATATAATCTTTTTCTGCTAAACAGAAAAGAATTTCTAGAGAGAAAAATTAAATTAGAATCAGAAAACTCTTATGCATAAACTGATTGTAATAACCTCTTCTTCCAGTTCCCGACAAATCAATGCTGTTCGCCATCGCAAATGGACTTTAGATTGACTAACATCAGTGTAAATATGGTCACCAATATACAGTATCTCGTCTCCGTGTATATTTAGGGAATTTTCAACCATCTGCGCGCTCCCCCCTGAGTACACACCACCTGCAGAATATGGTAAATGAAGTACAACAAAAGTTAAATCATCTTAAAAAAAACTTCAAATGTAGCACATTGTAAAGTCAATGCATTCCCCACTTTCACAAGTAAAATTAGCTGGTTGGTTAGTGATAAGTGTCATATTTGCTTTAATCTTGTGGTATAATTTGAAGCACTTATGTTATTTTCCTTTGACTTGAGCCCTTGATTTGATCCATATTTATCCTAATTGGTAGAAATTTAACTTTAGTCTATAACTCAGGATTGATGTTATTGCCATCATGATCCTCGCCGGTAAGATATTTCATCGGAATCTTCGGGTTGACAACGAATCTCTCAAGATTGTGTGCACGAATTACGACATTGACCTGTTGCTGCCAAGTCATGAAGTTTTTCTCGTCAAGCTTGCATGTGACGGTTTGTGAGAAGGTGTTTGGGACACTTGAGGAAGTTTGATTGAGATTTTCAAGAACGGAAGCCATTAGAACTAAATTGAAGCAGAAACAAAGAGAAATCCATAGAGAAAATTAAAGAATCGAAAAAGAAAAGGGCAAATAGAGCCTCAACAATGAATGTAACAAGATAGCGATTTGAAACAAGAACGAACAGAGTCGTACAACCAAACACAACTGAAGACGGTGACAAAGAAACGAGTCAAAGAGCAAAATCAAAGCGAAGAAGACGTTATTGCCAGATCTCACCGTGCTCACGATGATACCATATAAAAGAACAAAATTTCAAAGAATTTAGTAAATTGCATTAATGAATAAAACTGATTGTATAGGTGAGGTACAAGCTATATATAGAGGCCAGTCTCAACAAGATAGATGGCAATCCTAACAAACTAACCAACTAGATAAGCTGGCAAATCTTAACAGAATAACAAACCGAGCTGAAGTTCAGTAACTGTCCTAAGCTAAGCCAATACAATTGATAACGAAACATTTAGTATCCTATTCCCTAATAACAATAATCAAGGCCATAAATTTGATTGTATCCCTTGACTACCAACCGAGTTTTAAGGTGATCAACTTTACCACTAGGTCCAACTTTAACAACACAAACCCATTTACAACCGACAATCATCTCTCTTGGAGGTAGAGGGACAAACTCCCATGTGTGCAAGAGCTTGCATTTCATCAATCATGGTTTGTCGCCATCCAAGATGATCAAGTGCCTCATTGATAGTTTTAGGAACAATAGTAGGCAACAAAGAGAAAACAAAAGAGAATTATGAAGGAGATAGGCGATGATAACTCAAAAATTATAAATAGGATGAGGATTACAAGTAGATCAACTATCTTTTTGAATAGCAATGGGCCAATCGAAATTGGAGTCATGAGAAGGCGTGGAGGATGAAGGACCAGTGGTTTAGGAAGCTATTGGAGGATCTGAATCACAAGAGTCTTCAGCTTGTGGCCTGCATTGATATGTAATAAGGGGGGGATGGAATAACTTCATCTGGATCATGAGTATGAAAGTGAGACTGATTCTCATTTTGGTTGGGGTTAGAAGGAGTGGGAATTATAATCGGATTGGAGAATGAAACAGGAAAAACCTGTTGAACAGAAATAGGATTGTCCATGGAAGATGAGAAAAAAGGTGTCCTCAAAGACGGTAACATTAGCAGATATATAATACCTTTTGATAGTTGGAGAATAACATTTGTATCTTTTCTGAAGGCGAGAATATTCCAGAAAAACACATTTAATAGCCTTTGCAAAAAGTTTGTCTAAATTTGGAGAGACATTATGAACAAAGCAAGTACAACCAAACACCCAAGGAGAGACATAAAATAAAGGGTCATTTGGAAAAATGATATTGAGGAATCTGATTTTCAAGAGAGGAAAAGAAGACATTTTATTATTAAAATACAAGCAGTGAGGACTACATCTCCCTAATGATGTACGAGAAAATTTGTATTCAATATTAGGGAGCTTGCAGTTTCAATGAGATATCTATTCTTCCTTTCTGCTATGCTATTTTGTTGTGGTGTGTGAAGACATATGGATTGATATAAAATACCTTGCAAGGATATAAAGGAAGAAAGTTCAGTAAAAAAATATTCTTTAGCATTATCACTTCTAAAAATTTTAATTATCTTGTCAAATTGGTTCCTAATCTCATTAAAGAAAGACATGAATATAGATAAAAGTTCAAATTTATCTTTCATTAAATAAATCCAAGTACATCAAGAGAATTCATCAATGAAGGTTACAAAATATATAAAACCAAAAGATGTGACACGGCTTGGTCCCCAAATGTTTGAATGAATGGTAGAGAAAATCGAGTTACATCTTTGTGCAATTTGTTCAGGAGTCTATGACCTAACATGTTTTCCTAATTGACATGATTCACATTTCAAAACTAGAAGTTGCTTGAGACTAGGAACCATTATCTTTAATTTTGCTAAACTTAGGTGACCCAAACGGTTATGCAAAAACTTTGGTGCTGAAGTTGCAAAACAAGACACATGTGGGTAGGTTTCTACGTAATAGAGACCTCGTGATTCATGTCCTTTGTCAATTAGACAACCTATACCACGTTCCTATATGACAAAGGAATTAGCATCAAATGTTACTGAACAATTTAATGAACAAGTGAGTTGGCTTAGAGAGATTACTTTATAAGGACAATGATGGATGAGCAAAACAAAATTTAATTTTAAAGGAGGCAAAGGAACATGACCAATTCTTTGAGATGCAACTTTGAACCCATTAGCTCCAGTAACAAGATGAGGAACTTTAAGAGAAGAGAAGGATGAAAATAAGGACTTGTTACCAGAAATATGATTAGAGGCACCTAAGTCAGGTATCCATGGACCATGACCTTCCACAAATTGAGAAATACATGTTGAAACACTTGGCATGGAAGAAGATTGGGCTTGGCTGTTAGATTTTCCAGATTTAAGTCTTAGATAACCTTGGTACTCCTCATTAGAAAATTTGGAATCTTTTTTTCAGATTTAGACACATGAGCTACCTTGTCAGGAAAACCATGCAAGGAATAAGAATTTTCTTGTGCATGACCCATTCTTTTGTAATATGTACACTGGGACATCCACTTCTACCACCACGTCCTCATCGGTTGCTACGTCCTCCTCTTCCATGAGGTGCTAGCATTGTTGAAGTTTCAATAGTTTCAGTTGGGTTTTCATCTTTCACCAAGGTAGAACACGAAGAAGTCTAGTAACTATGTTGTCCATGGAAGGGATTTTTGGTCACCAGCTATAATTTGATCACATACATGATCAAAATCTGAATGTAAACTTCTCAAAATTAGAACCATGTATAACTTATCAAGTTTTTTGTTGACACCTTCCAATGAGTCAGTCGCAATAAATCTTTTCAGTTCTTCTATTGCAGTCCAAGCCTTAGTTACATGTGAAACCATATCGTGGTTGGTTTGTTTGAGAGAAACAACTCTCTGGATTGCATCAAAAAGATGTTGAATATCATTAGCAAAAATATCTTGGGTCTCCTTCCAAAATAAACATGTCTTAAATGACCTGAGTATCTCTAACACATCAAGTTCAACTAATTGCCATAGGACAACATAGTTGGAAGTCAAGTTTCTACCATTGAGATTTATGTTCACTAGGAATTGCATTGGTTTCCTTCTCCAAATGGTCATGATATCCTTAACCAAGAAACCACAACTCCACCGAGGCAGACCAAAAAAAATAGTTTTTCCACTTCAGTTTTGCAGTGGTAACGGTAGGAGTACCAGAAAAAGGGATAACAGGACTTATGGAGGCCATTTTAATGACAAAGACGGAAGAGAAGAAACGTGACCACCACGACCCACACTTCCAAGTAGGTTGAACTTGATAATTGAGGGCAAAAATATGACCAGAGGAAGCCGACGAAGCTTTCGGGAGTGGTCCGACGAGATTTTGATAGGCAGAGGGCAGTGCGTGAGATTCACGCGTTGGACAAGGCACCAGAGAAGATCGACGCGTGAGGGTACGTGCCTAGGTATTAGGTCACGCAACTTCTTGGGTTGGATTGCGCTCCTTAAGGCACACCTAACCCAGAGTTCGTTGGAGAAAATGGTGGAAACTAGCGACAGCGAACAGTGGCGACAGACAGTGTGGACTGGTATGACAGAGCAGAATGTAACCCACTCTGATACCAACTTGAGATTTGAGTTGCGGCAAAAACAGTGAGAAACTTGCTCAGCTGGTATATATTATATATATATATATATATATATATATATATGTATGTAAAATCAGAACAAGTACAAAAATCAGGAAAAAGGTACAGCCTATGGATCTTAACCCTTAAGTTAGATAGGGCCAGCTTTTGTAAAGCTATACTACATATAATAAACAATTGTTTTAACATGTAAAAGACAATTACCAATTAATACATTTAAAAATAGACCCATGTTTCTTATAATTAATTAGGACCAAATAAGACTAATTTGTTTCTTATATACCGGAACACGCTTGGCATTAAACAATATAAGATACATTTGAAGTAACATGTGATGTTCTTTATTAGAGAAAATAAGAATAATCTAAACTTTGTGGAAAATTGAAACGTACTATATGGTACGTATGGAGTACATACCAGTTTGAGCTTTAAAGCATGGACGCATCAGACCATCATCTGTCACCACTTCATACATGGGGTGTGACATTTGGAAGAATTCTGGTTTTTGTGCCGAGACAATTACCTACTCATGAACCAAACCCACATCCATTTATGCAAGGCTTATTTCACTAAAATAAAGAGAATAGCATGTACTTTTCATTCCTCAACTATCAAGAGTATAACTTCATTTTGTATCAATAATTAACAAGAACTTACAACGTCAAATAAATCTCGCCAACCCATGCTATTCGGAAGGAATCTATTAAATGAATAATGCATCATTCTGTCTGTATAATGATAATCTGAGTTTGTAATAAGCAGAAGTTTTTTGCCTGCCTGTTTCATGAAGACAAATATGTAATGAGTAAACACATTATGGGTGACACAAAAAGTACTACAAGAAATACCTCTTTCTGATCCAAAAGTGTGAAGGGAATTTCTGGATCAGGTTCCACAAATTGTTCGGGGTTAGACATAATCTCACTCTGCAAAAATTTAGTAAGCCATTAGGTGCAAATAAAGCACAACATAAATATATCATCTTAGACAATAACAAGCCAAAGGTTTTCCACGTGTGTTCACCTTGAGGCGACCTTCCACGTGTGCTGTGAAGAGAGCTTTTCCAACAGCCTGAAAGTCAAGCCAAAGGTGAAAACAGAGAACATCACAACTAAAACATAATTTAAACAAAATACGTGCGCACTACCTTATAAAGCCTTTTATAATCAAAGGAGCCAAGATTGGATGGTATAACCCCATCTTCCAATTTGTCAACCATCTGAAACAATCACAACATGAATAAAGTCTCCTTAAATCCTAGTCAAATGTTGAATCAAATTAAAGTGGACACGTGTAAATAAATGTTTATAATATATGTAACCTGTTAGTCACAAGACAAAAATCATAAAGAACAAAGTGGCTTCATGTTTTAACTTAATATTTTAATATTTCGGAACTGTCACTTGGACCTATTAACTACTTGAAAGAATAAAACATTTGGAATCGCTAGTTGACCAGTAACGAATAAAATAAAGAGACTTGGTAGTTTCATTTCCACGTACCCTGATAGGGTTCGTAGATATAGCTAGCAATACTCTATTTTAAGAAACACACACAACCCATCACCCTTTGCAGGGATCTAAAAAAATAGATAAATTAAGATCCCAATGCTACCATACAACTTTGGCAGAATACAGCTCCAGTAAAATTTTGGAGATTTTCAAAAGCAACTGAAACATACATGCATGTAAGCCACAGCTTCAGACACAGAGAACAATGTGTTGAGAAACTCCCATCGATTCTCCTCCCGCAGGTCCACCAGTTCTCTCCCATATATCTCACTTCCATGCAAATAAAATTAGATAACACTTAAAATAAAGGGAAAACTGAATATTATTAAATTGATTTCAAAATACAAGCACCAATCAGTTTATATAGGGTAAACATAACCAGGAAATACAGAAATAAAACCTGTCAATTACAGAAACGATCTGAATAATTACAAAGGACATTCTATCATAAATTGGAGTGCGTGGTGTCCATTTACATATTCATAAAATTGATGTGGGAACTGGGAAGCTCCCAAGTGAATAAATACATCTACCAGTTCAAGTCCCGAAATGACATACGTTGTAATTATAAGACAACTACCAAGTTTTTCCTTCATAAAATGAGAATCTATCTCTGTGAGTTTGGTTCTATCATGTTGTACTGGGTTGGGTGGAATATTACTAACAGAATTCTTACTTGATAGATACCCATTAATTACTTAGTTATAATAGTTATTTATGTTAGTAACTAGTTAGTTTTGTAAATTAGTAAAAGAAATACAAGGGTTTATGTTAGTCAGAAGGGAAATTAAGAATGAGTTTATATTATGATCCTAGAAGAGAATAGAAATATTGTAAATCTGAAGTGATTTCATTACTACTGATTATTGAAGACTACAAGTATCCCTATATTTATAATAGGGAAAATACAAGGTTCAGTTGTAACTGAACAGCAACCCATAACTAACTAGTAGAACAAAACAGAACAAAAACTAATACAACAGAGCTCTCAAAAGAGCTTGCGGTTATACAACAGAAATGTAAACTAACTACAACAATTATACATGGCATATTCTAACAGGTTGGACCAGTTGGTTGTGTTGGAAAACTAGTGAACTAGTCTAGTGTCTCTGAAATATTCTATAAGAGTTCAAAATGAAAAAGATTTTTATATATCTGTCATTAGAAGTGACTACGGAATTGAGTTTGAAAACTCATTTTAAAATATTTTGCGGAAAAAAGGTATTTTCTACAACTTTTCTATACTAAAAAACACCTCAACAAAATAGGGTAATTAAAAGGAAAAATCGAACTTTACAAGAAATTGCTAGAACTCTTCCCTGCAAAAATTCTTTGCCAGAGTACTTCTAGGCAGAAGCTATTTTCTACAACTTCTCTTTACCAAAAAAACACCTCAACAAAATGGGGTAGTTGAAAGGAAAAATCGAACTTTACAAGAAATTGCTAGAACTCTTCTCTACAAAAATTCTTTGCCAAAGTACTTCTAGGAAGAAGCTATTAACACAACTCGTTATATTTAAAACAAAATATTGGAGATCAGTGAATATCAATCGAATCTGTTGGAGATCATCATATATCAATTAGAATCATTCAATTCTAATTTGTATAGCCCATAATAGGATTTAATGTTAATAAGATCAATTTTATTTCCCCTCCTTTAATTATTTAGATACAACATTTATAGGGAGAATTATTTCCCTGATTTTCAGGGATAGATTAGTGTGCAGGTTTATTCCCTTGTATTTTATTTATACCACCTTTGTATTTTTCCAAAATCAGAGAAATATACATCATATTTTTCCGCATGGTATTAGAGCTCAATCTGAACCATCCCTAACCTAGCGCCACCAGCCATGGGAGAGAACAAGGTAGAAGGTTCGGCCACCAGTTGGTCGAAGGACCTACTCTTCCTAGCACTAGTCTTAAATTGAATGGCCAGAACTACCCTCAAAGGGTACAATCAGTTAAGATCTTTCTTCAAGGAAAAGGGAAGGAAGGTTACATCACAGGAGACTCCAATAGTCCAGAAAAGGGTGACCCCAATCTCAACACATGGCAACTAGAAAACAGTTTAGTCATGTCATGGTTGCTCAACACCATGACTAATGAAATTGGGGAAAATTTCATGTACTATGATACTGTCAAGGAGATGTGGGATGCAGTGAAGGAAACCTACTCAAATGTGGACAATACGTCTGCATTATCTGAAATCAAGAGCATACTCCATGACCTATGACAAGGTGATTTCTCAGTCACCAAGTATTTTAATACACTCAATCGACATTGGCAACAATTGCACATATATGAAGACGTTCAATGGAGCTGTACCGAGGATAACAAGTATAAAGAATTGTTGAAGAAAGATAGGATCTACAAGTTTCTATTAGGGATGAACACAGATCTTCATGAAGTTCGGGGGACAATCCTTGGAACCAAACCTCTTAAAACAATTCAAGAAGTATTTTCAAAAGTGAGAAGAGGGGAGAGCAAGAGGAAAGTTATTAGATATAGTTTTATCTTATGGGCCTAGGCCCACTACTTGTATATAAACACATCTTTTGCTTTGCAATATACAAGGAATATGTTCTCTCCATTCACCATTATTCTCAACATGGTATCTAGATCCTATCCTTGACTTTCCGGTGGACCCACTGTTCCCCACCCGGCTCGCCTTCCTCTGGCGAAACCAATGCCACCGGTCGCGCAGAAAACGGAGGTCGCACGTGCCCACACGCGCCAACTCCGTGCTGCGCGCGGTTTCTCTCACCTCTCCGTCGGCCGCCGCGCGTGGCGGCGCGTCCGGCGACTTTTCCGATGGCGACCACCGGCACCGGACTCGCCCTGACCTCCTCTATCCCGATCTATTATTTGTTTTGTGATCGGACCTCATTTGTCACGGATCTCTTCCTTCTCGGGCCATTTTCTCTCTCCTGTTGCTGTTTCTCTCTCCTGTTCCAGCATCTATGGCTTCCCCTTCCGCTGTTCGGCCAGACTCCTCTATTTTCACTAACTATGTCAATGTCCCTCTTTCCATTGACAAGTTAGATGGAACCAATTATGATACTTGAGCTTCGGATATCAAACTTTGGCTTAAGGGACAGGATTATGTTGCTCACCTTACCTAGACAGCTGCTTCCGTTGATGAGAAGGATCGTCCTCGTTGGTCGAAAATTGACGCTCAAATTTGTAGTGTCCTTAAGTCGACCATTCATCCCTCCCTAAAACAAATTTTTCGTGCCCATGAGACATGTGTTGATGTATAGGAACAAGCCCGATTATTGTACACCAATGATACTCAACGTCTCTATGGTGTGTGTCAAAATCTCCAGAATATCATTTCCTCACGATGCCTTGAGGGCTCCATGGCTGAGTATTTGGGCAAAGTTCATGGCCTTCTACATGACTTCAATGAACTTTTGCCTCCCACTGCCACTCCTGCCAAGGAACTAGAACAACGCCAAACTTTCTTTATGTTGATGGCATTATATGGGCTTCTTGATGAGTACTCTTCCATTTGTGATCAAATTTTGGGATCTCCGACCGTGCCTACCTTGAACTCGGCTTGGTCCACTCTGTTGCGTGTGCCTTGCAAGTTTTCCCCTGACATACCTTCTTCAGCTCCCACTGGCAATTCCTCTGCCTTGGTTTCTCAACGTGATGATCGTCAACGTTCTCGCAAACCGGGCAAAGGTCGTCCCAAGTGTGATCACTGTCACAAACTGGGGCACACAATTGACCGTTGTTACGTCTTACATGGTCATCCCCCTCGCCCTGCTACTGCTGTTGCCCACACTGCCTCTCCTGTCTCTACTACATCTGGTACTACCCCCTCTGATAGTTCTGGCTCTGGACCTCCAGCTCTCTTCAATGACTTCCTTAAATGGTATGAGGAATGTCAAGCTTCCAATTCCACTGTTTCTGTTGCGCACACAGACCCTTCGTTTGTTGGTCTCACTCACTCCACCTCTCTTGGCCCTTAGGTCCTAGATTCTAGTGCTACCGATCATATTTCTAGTAATCGGTCTCTTTTCTCCTCTCTTTCTACCTCTGCTTCTTTACCCTGGATCACTATGGCTAATGGCTCTCGCGCCACATCTCATGGTGTTGGTACTGTCCATCTTTCTCCTTCTCTCTCCATTGACAATGTTCTTTATGTCCCAAAATCTCCCTTTAATTTATTATCCCTTAGTCGTCTTACTCGCTCTCTTGATTGTCTTATCTCTTTTACTAAAGATTCTATTTTTTTACAGGACCGGAGTTCAGGACGGATGATTGGCACCGGATGTGAGTCTCATGGCCTTTATCACCTACGCACCTCTGCTCCTGTTGGTTTGGTGGCGAATTCCCCTTCCCTCATCCATGCTCAATTAGGTCATCCTAGCCTTGCCAAGCTTCAACACCTTGTACCACGTTTGTCTAAGTTGTCTCATTTGTCGTGTGAGTCGTGTCAGTTAGGCAAACATAGTCGTAGTTCCTTTTCTCCAAGTGTCCCCAACCGAGCGTTGTCTCCTTTTACTTTAGTTCACTATGATATTTGGGGGCCGAGTCGGGTTAAGTCCACTTTAAGATTTCAGTATTTTGTAACTTTTATTGATGATTACTCTCGATGTACTTGGCTATTTTTAATGAAATCTCGTTCCGAATTATTTTCCATATTTCAATTTTTTTATACGAATTATTTTCCATATTTCAATCTTTTTATAATGAAATTCAAACTCAATTTGGTGTTTCTATTCGTACTTTTCGTAGTGATAATGCTCGGGAATACCTCTCTCACTCCTTTAACGCCTTTATGGCTTCCCATGGCATTCTTCATCAAACTTCTTGTGCATATACCCCTCAACAAAATGGGGCGGCTGAGCGCAAAAATAGACACCTAATTGAGACCACTCGCACCCTCTTACTTCATGGTCACGTTCCTCAACCTTTTTGGGGTGATGTTGTTCTCACCGCATGCTATCTCATTAATCGAATGCTATCTTCTGTCCTCAACCATCAAATACCTCACTCTATTTTATTTCTCACTCAACCACTCCACCCTCTACCTCCTCGCGTCTTTGGATCTACATGTTTTGTCCATAATCATAGTCCTGGTCTTGACAAACTCTCCGCTCGGTCTCATAAATGTGTCTTTTTAGGGTATCCTAGGTCTCAAAAAGGGTATAAATGTTTCTCACCCTCCCTTCGTCGCTACTTAATCTCAGCCGATGTCACCTTTCTTGAGTCTTCTCTCTACTTTTCATCTACTTCCTCTTCTCCTACACCTGTCC